TTCACACGTTGCTGTTTAAATTCCAATTAGCTTGTAATTATTTTAGGCTTTGTGCAATTGGCCGCTTGAAAGCACCACACACTCACACATGAACATGTATATATGTACTTCATTGCATTTAATTGTGCTATTGCTTGGGGATTACTATGTTAAAGGCTTTGAAAACTCTTTCTGGGCTGCCTGGCTGACACGCAGTGCATAGAGAGCTGCTCTTCAATCTTTCCATTTTGTTCTGGAGTTCAGCACAGCCGTTGCATTAATCATATCTCTGCACACACCACACGAGCATCGTCTGGGCTCTCAGCTAAACGCCACAGAGGTCTGGCTGCCTTTTGTGAATGCCAGGGGGCTGTTGTGATCCAAAATGACACCCCAGCAGAAAGCCAGGAGGAAACTTAGTTTAATATTTAATGTTTCCATAGGAATCATCCCCACGAGTCTCTGCCACGTGGTGCAGACGTTGTCATGGCACAGAGCCCCAGCCTTGAGCAGGAGGGGAGAGCAAACACACATCGCTCTCACCGAGTTCAGCACGGTGGAAAAATCCATATAAAACATGCCTTTTCATTTAAAGAGCTGGTTACAACTCAGATAACTTCAGCCATTATATATAGCCTGTTTGAAAGCTGAAAAAAATAAGATACACCTTCATGTAAAAGAAGGAGAAAGGATGAGCGTGCCTGTGGACACTGGCTGAGACGTTTCCGATGCCTTTTTACGCAAGCAGAGCTGTGGCTGTGGCCTGACCACGCAGGGAAATGGGTTTGCAGAGCAGGGATGCTCCAGCACCTCAGCACGCCGCAGCCGGCCGCATCCCGGGTTCAGCACAGGGGCACCAATACCTGGAGCGAGAGCCCGTGGATGTATGTGTCTGGGTGTCCTTTCCCAGCCATAACTGCTCATCCTCGAGCACATGCTTTCAAATAGACAAAGCTCCTCTTCCTCCAGCACGAAGCCAGAACACTCCTCAAAACCTAGACACTTTATCAATTAACTGGTTAGAAAGAAGCATTCACTTCCCCGTAGACCAGACCAGTTTTAGCCCACCAAAGCTGCAAAGAAAACCATAGATTTGCCAGCTGACAATTATGTCCCTTAAATTGACTGCAGGTATGTGCATTTTCTAGTGGAGTATTTTTTAATTTCTTAATGCAGTCACTGCAATAACTGCCCCCTGTCTCTAGCAGAGAGAAGGCAGACGGGCTCAGCATGTCCTGAACTCGCTGCTCTATCACATACAGAGTTTCTTATTAATTTGCTGCAAGCCTTCAGCACTGTGCAGAACTGATTTATTTATTTTTTTCCCCTTGCTCCCTGCATGGACAAAAGCCAAGCTTTATAAATCAACTGTGTAAACAGAAATATCCTTCTTCCTTGAATGTGATTATTATTTCGAAAAAGGAGGCTGTCATTTTATGAGGCAGAAAACCTGTTTAATCTGGAGACACCGGCTCTGATGCCAGGCGCTGGTTACCATAACATTTTTCTTCTGCCCTAAGTTTCAGAGTAAAAATTAAAAACTCTCATACAGACTGTTTTTGGACAGGTTTTGACCAGCTAAAATAATTTTCAGAGCCCCAAATGATCTTTCTATTGAGTTACATCTATAAACTCTTTTTATATCCATGCAAATAAGCTCTGTGGCGGCCTCACACCCCCCTGTGAAACCAGAGCTCTGCCTGGGTGCACTCTGATTATACTTTTTTTTTTCCTTAAAGAGCTTAGTCTAAAAATAGGCGATGAAGAATGGGAGAAGGTGTGTGCCATCCCCAGGAGGGCAGAGGGGAGCTTTCCCAAAACCCCACACCATCAGCAGCAGAGCCAGAAACCACGCTCCAATCTCCAGGGCGCCGTCCCTCTGCTTTAAGTGCTTTAGCATTTGCGTTTGTGCTTTTGTTTGCATTGGTTCTTGTTACAAGGACATACTTGATGCAAAGCAGCTCCCATGTCTCAGCAAGGCTAATAGGTATTATTTACTAATTGTGATAAATTATTTGCTGGATGATGAAGGAAAGAAACTCTCCAATGCATGCACAGGGTGCTCAGGACACAGTCACTGACCTGCTTCTGGGAGGTAGATAGCTCCAAATCCTGAAAGGCATCGATGTCACCCATGTGGTGCCTCTACTGACCGTGCCACGAATGCGTTAATGCAGATTTGCTTCAGGCGGTTTGTGGGACCAAGTAAATGAATGCAGCAACGCCAGCAGGGTGGCTTGGGAGGCACCAGTGCAGGACACATGGAGGGGCTGCTCCCTTCCATGAATGGTGCTGACCAGTGCCAAGAGGAGAGCAGGGTACCTGGGGAACGTGATGGGGGAGAAAAGATTACACAAATTTGGTGTTTCATCCAGAGCAGAAAGGGAACAGAACAGAGAAGAGGAAAGGCTTTTGGTTGGCATTTGTGAGGCAAACTCATTTCTTTTCTGAGAGACTCTTTGAAGTCCCTCCAAAAAGAGCATGAGTAAGGTGTTTCCTTTTCCTGGCAGGTTTGGGAAGGCTGCAGCCGCATTTCCCCCCTTTCTGCCCGGGGCTCCATGTACCTGTTTCCAGGTGGATTCTGCCTGGCACAGTCTGCTCCTGCCTGTGTGTGGGGCTGGGATGGGGACCACTGCGGTGGTGGGAGGGGATGGGGACACGGATGGGGATGGGGGAACTCTGGGAAGGCTGGGCTGGAGGAGCCCAGCACCAGAGGGTGAGTCATGGAGAGCTGGACGCTGCTCGGGTTCATGTCAGGACAGCAGCAAAACTCTACATTTTGCTTTACTGGTCCTTGTTAACAGACCCTCCCAGTACAGCACCAGCAGCATGTGTAAATCTTTCCTCCCCCTTGATACAGGGACATCCCTCGCTCCCCAGTAGCCCCTAGTCCCTCTCCTTATCACTCCAGATGCAGGGGTTTGAATTCAAAAATACCCCAACATGCTGCAGTCTGTTTTAATCACCTGCTAGTTTTACTTAACACCATGAATATAAAAACATTCTCAACACAGGTCATCTGCAAACAATTTGAGTTCTCCCTTATATAACCCAGGTCCACCTACAGCTTTAAAGGTTGTTTTGCTTCTTATTGAATCCTTCAAAGACGTACAAAACGCCTTTTGCATCGTGGCAGCTGTCAGGGCTCCAGGCTCTGGGGCCGAGTGAGTGCTGGGCAGCGGTGCAGCAGTGCAGAGCACTTAGGGGCTGGGGCACATCAGCACGTGGAGCAGCGATGGGGGAACATGTCTGAGGACCTCAGCTGAGGTGTCAGCTGGGTCAGGGCGGGATGGGGAGGCTCTGAAGGGGTTTTGAAAAAGCCGACTGGTTCCCAAGATGCTCTCACATCTCATCCCTCCTTAATTAAGTCAGAGAGTGTTAAAAAGAAAAAAAAGGCATAACCTAGCCATCATGTGTCCCCTTGGACTGGTGAGATGTGAAGTGCTGGGGTCTGGTGTAGAGCTTCTAGCAGAGCAGGAGGACTACAGGGGAGGAACATTTAAAGCAACAATTTGTGACCTGAAGTGGGGAAGGGCACTGCGAGAGGACAAAACACACCTCTCCCCTCCCGATGTTCTCAGGACAATCAGAAGCGTTGCTTTTCTTTTTCAGTCTTAGTGCAGGAATGATGCTGGAGCTTGCACTATATAGGATATCCATCTCTTTTAACTTCCTCTTTTACAGTTAATGCGAGGCAGTTGCAAAACAGAGAGAGAAAAAAGTAAAGAAAACCAAAACCAACTAACCAAACAAAAATTCAGAGCCAAAACCTGGTTTTAAATAAAACCATCAATGTGCTTTTTATTTCAAGGGGTGGAAACGACCAAATTTGCAGTTTCAGTTTAATGTGGGCACTAAAATCAAAAGGCACTGGCACTGCGCTGCTCTGCCCTGGAGCCAGGGAGGTGTGTGATGTTCAGCACACTCTGAAACCCCCGTGTCTGCCCCGTGCTGTCTTGAGTGACTGTGTCTCAGCAGTCCCTCAGACAAGGGCAATCTGTGTGACATCCCATTTTATCTCTTGGCTAAGGGATGATCCAGCCATGCTGTGCTTGGTTCTGCAGACCCCTCGCTCCATGACGGCCACCAGCCCTCTCGAGGGGCTCACATATGGCCAGGACCACCGTGTGCTCCTCGGCAGATGGGCCACCCAGGCAGAACAGGGCTGGATGGCTTCTCTGAAGATGCCCTCTGCTCAACCTCCTTTGGAGATGGTGTCCACACCTCCCATCCCACACAGAACCTTGTGGCACCCTGGCCGTAATTGCTGCAGTTAGCCAGAGCATTCAGTAATTCAGTCCCAATTAATGTGAAATAAAGGCAACTTGCTCTCCAGCCATTTCTGGGTGTCATGGAATAGTTAATAAAAACCAAAATGCTAGCAAATAGGTATGATGGGAGAAGACTGCAAACACACGCTGAGGAAGTGTCACCCCTGTGCTTGTGTTTGACCTTCCCCTCCTTTCCCGCTCACAGGGTGCTAACACTCATCGTATCCTCCCATGGATGGTTTGGCATCAGGCATTATCCCTGAAACCTGTGAAGCAGGGAGGGAAAGCAGCTGCACATCACCCTCCTGTGACCAGCCCCAAATCTGCTCACGGAGAATCAAAGTGCTTTGTTTTTCAGCAGGGAGGTGCATGGGACAGCGGGGTGATGTCTGCCTTTAGTGCTGGCCCGTCCCCAGGCACCTGCCTGTGCACCTACATTTTCCCCCAGCATCACTGCAGGGACAGTTTCCATTGCTGCACCCCTTCAGGAGGCTTTTTCCACCTTTACAGCTCTTGCACAAAAGCCAGAGCTTTTATTGTGGGTTTGGTTTTGTTTGTGTGGGGTTTTTTTCTCCTTTCTCCTGCCTAAAAAGATGCTGAAGTCTCCCAAAGAAAAATTATTTCCATGCAATCCCAGCACTTTCTCTTCTTGGCTGGAACACTGGATGTGGTTTTGGGTCTGTGGTTTTTGATACTTTATTTTTTTTTTTATTCACAAATTTTTTGGTCTTCATTTCCATCATTGTGAGAGGCACCGTGCAACCCGACAGACTGGCTGCAAGTCCCGAGGAAACTATAGCAGGACAAAAGCACCGGAACTCAGCACGAGTTGATGCAAGCAGAGAAACGAGAAAAATCCCTGCTTTTGCAAACAATCTAGCTGCTGGGTTTCATAAGGAGCCGGACTGACTTTCAGTGTTTCATTTGGACTCCAGCTAGGAAGCTGCAGCTGCCACTGAGAACTAAAATACCTGAATGAACAGCAGCTTTCATATTATGCATCCTGCTAAGCAACAGCAAGGAAAGTAAGAGACGGGGTCCTGAGTCACAAGGTAAGTTAAATGGATCTGAATGAGTTTGGGGAAAAAAAAACAACTATTGCTATAGGGAACAAAGTGTTTGCACCCTGCAGAAGCAGCTTGCTTGGGTGAGTCATAAAAAGAGGTGGTCTCTGCCCGCCCTGCTTCGTCTCACTTTTTCTGCTTCACTGCAGCAGGCAAAGTAAGTGCAAGGCCAGGTTATTGCTGAGCTGGCTTTAATCTCTTCTTACTAACACTCCACCCTCAGACTCCAGAACGACGCTTTCCTGTAGTCTGGTTTTGCTCTTAGCTGTGGCTGAGCAGTGGGACGGGGATGGTGGAGGCTCCCCCGCGCTGTCAGAGCCCAGGGCAGGCAAGAGCCGTCTCCTGGTGTCCCCCACAGAGACGGAAACTTCCCGGGGACTCCGCTCCTCTAGCCTCACCGGGGAGCGGCAGCTGTTGGAAATGTGCTGCTCATCCTGGGCCACGGCTTGCCGTGGGGATGGGACGGTGCTGCTGCTGCCAGCCCCCGTGTCCCGGTGCTCCCACCCAGCAGGCAGGGCAGCCCCGCAGGGACCCGCTCCAGGGACACCCTGCCTGCTTTGTTTTGGCACGCAGAAAGCCGAGTTCCCGGAGTGACCGAGTCACGGATGGCAAGTCATGGGAGAGCTGCCTTTCCGCGGGGAAGGGTGAAGGGGAGTTGGGTGCCGTCCACTTTGTCGGGGTGATTTGCTCCATGGGAGAAGCTGCCCTGGGAATGACTTACAGTAACTCGCCCGCGCCTGGGCAGCGCTGGGCTGAATCACTGTCTGGGCTTGCCACGGAGATGGGACCGCGTTCAGGGAGCCGCCCAGCACGGAGCGGGGCCACTTCCAGCACACTGCAGGCATGTTCCTGGCATCGGAGGGGCAGGCAGGGACAAGAAGGAGGGAGGGAAGAGTTGCTTGCTTAGGAACCAGCAAACATAATTCCGGTGCCTGTCTGTGCCGAGATAAGCGTGGTAACAGCCCCAGCCGCAGACCCGCAGAGCTGGTACCACGCGAAGGTGCCGGTGCCCACGGGACCCTTCCGTACAGGCACAGCCTCTGCACCCCTAGCACCGGCAGGGAACTGTGTTAAACCACCACAGACACCCCGGTCTAAGTGTGTGCAGGTACTAGGAAGGGATGTCTGCTTGGGATCCTCATCTCTTCCCGTGCCTGGTCGGTGAAACGGCAGCTGGAGCGAGACCGTGGTGACTGCATGAGCCACTGCTGCTCAGGGGCACGCACTATCGGGGGTGAAGGTGTTTCACAGCTCCTCCCGGGAGAGAGGAGTTAGGGTGATTCACCCGCACTGGAAACAGGCACACGCTAAAAAAGCACCAGAAAACAAAACCCAAACCAGATAATTAGAAATGGAGGTGCAAACTCACTGACCAGAAGTTCGCGCAAGCCATTACAAATATGGATGTGGCCAACACCCCCTGGACCTCCCCACAGCTGGATCCTGGCTTTGCCTCCATTCCTGCCCTGCTCACAACTCACAGGGCTCAAACCAAGCCGGCAGTCTCTGCCAACACCCCTTCTACATCACCCTAGCGTGTTGGATAAACACCATGGACAAGAGGGCGTTAACACTGGTCATCTGCAAACCACTACAGACAGTGGAAAATTTTAAACCGCGTTGCTTTTCAGGATCCAAATATTCTTGTCTGCAAGCCCTCAAATCACTTCATGGCTGCAGACAGGCTCCTGATGCTCAGCCCGAGCAAAGCATCTCTGTGGCATCGTGTCAGAGAGGAGATGCTCCACGCTCATCTCTTGCACCATGGGCAGAGGAACCCCTGAGCGGTTGAAGCTTTATTTTGGAAAATGCACAAGCTCCCTCAGCATTTTCGGCTTTTCTACAATGAATTTCTCCTGAAGAAATTTTAGATCCTCCTGGGGAAGAAAATATAAAACATCCCAAACAAATAATTTCCAAGAGGAAGTCCAGTGTCCAGACAAACGCGGCCCTAATGATGCTTCATTTCCTGCTGTTGGCGATGCAAGGAGCTCTGGAGCAGTAAGGATGCTGAGGCTTGAAAGAAGACAAAAGGTAAAAAAGCAGAACCAGAATATTTTCCGTCTCTGGAACAATGCCGAGGTTCGCGACTGACACAACCATGTGTTTTCCATCTCTGTGGCTCAAGGAAGGTTTTAGTCTTAACTGCCCTCTTGGGTTTTCAGTCAAGATTTGTCACTAATTAAAATGGGCAGTGGCTAGTGTTGTCCTGTGCACTGTGAATTTAAAGCAAGACTGCTTTTCCCGAGCAAAGCCATAGGAATAACAGGAAGGAAAATGTTAGCGGAAACTTAAAGTGCAGCTCAGGGATCCAAGAGCAATTCCTGCCTCGTGAACTCTCAATAACGCAGCATGTGAGCTCAGCACAGTTATCCGTGGGATTTCTTCTTTGAGCATCCCTGGAGGGACAGGACATACTTCCGCTGGGCCCGGTGAAAACACGGGCTGGGGTAGGTAGATCTGTACCTTTGACATCCCCCAGGGGCTGCTGGCAGCGCCAACGGATCAGCCAGGGTCGGGCCAAGATTAGGGTTCAGGTTGCAAACTTGACATTGCTAACCACAGGGAAAACCTTTTGGTCCAGCCTCCAGGCTGACATGCTTTGCCTTCTTGCTTTATTTTCTCTATGTGCAGAGCAAGTGAGCTATTTTTGCAGATATTATGGGGATTTCTTATAATTTCTATTATACAAGTGTGTTACTTTATATCAAAGTGTTAGAATTTGCCAGGTACACAGCATGATTAAAAAGCTTTGCATGAGCAAATGTGCCTCATACATAAGCTGTCTACTTTGAGCTATAAGATTAAACTCAATCATGAACAAAAAAAAAATCAATCAAGGTACTCTCTCCAGCTGTAATAGTGTCAAGAAAATATATTTAAATAAGAAATTGCACACAAGAAGAAAGAATCACATCATTTAGCTCCCTGAACTGGAACTAATGGTTTCTGCCCTTCCCTAACAAAGGTTTGTGGCCCCTCTAAAGCCCTGCATGGGAGGAATTTGGCTTTTTTTGCTGGCAGACACTGGGAATGTCAGGTGTCTTTGGAAAACCAGCACTTGTGATGCAGGTTATTTATAACAGGTAAAAAATGAGTAAAAAGCTGGATTGATTACATTTAAGTCAGGGTAGTTCCAGGGTCAGTGCAAAGCAAAAATACCTTATTTAATCTTCTGTTCTGCCTTGGATTGAGCGTGGCAGACAACAGTGTCCCTGGTTTGGACATTACATCCTCACTGTGAGGCAGCAGCCGTTAAAGGGTTCCTATTATCTGCTCTGCTTAGACAGGCAGACACACCCTTTCCAATGGCTCCAGACATCAGCGTGTTTGAATTTCACACAAGGAGACTGGTATTTTCACTTGTTCTTTCTTCTTGTTTTTTTGCCAGGCAGAAGTACCTGAACAAGCAATCTCTTTCGCTAACATTTTAATTTTGTCTTTCTACTCAGAAATTTGGAGAAGAAGAATGGGGATGGAAAAAGCAAACAGTAGCTTTAAACCTTAGCTAAAGGGTGGTTTCAGTCAAAGAAGCCTTTAATTACATGTTTAATTACATACTCTCCAGCAATAACCCATATTCTAATATTGTAATGAACACAACCATCAGCCATTCTCATCACCAAAATTCACTGAAATTAACTGTTTTTTCAACAGGTTCAGATGTCTCATTTCATCATTCATAAATTTTCATTTTGTCTGCCAAAATAGAGCCAAAAAAAAAATAAAATCTGTCGGTTTAGCACATGCAGAATTTCCTCTTCAGCCTCAGATTAAATTCACACTTGGTTGTCGGGTTTCATCCTGGTTCCACTTGCAGATGCTGGGGGTTGTGCTGTGCTTCATGGCTTTGGAGTGGGGATGCTTGAAAGGGTTATGGAAGAGCAAATAACTTATCATGAAATTACCTATTGCAACCAGACAGGTTGTGCGCTCAGCCTTGTGGTGAGCTTTCTGCTTTGCAAGCACTTTGCAAGAAGTGTCAGAAGCATCAAAACAATTTACATTTGCCTACACGTCGCCGCGAGCTTCTCAGCTGAAACATTTCAAATTGTCAATCAACCATTTCAAAATGAACCTGAGCTAAAGCAGAGCCAAAGCAGCTGAACTGAAAGAACAGTTTTGAGAGAGGGAGGGCTGAGACCATCTTCTTGTCCTCGGGTGAAACGTTTACAGACTGCAAAGTTTCTGAAGACAGGAGACCAGTTTTCTTCCCAGCCATTAGGATGTCTGCTTATCTGTCATCATCTCTAGATTTTTCTACCTAATAACAGTCCTAAACCCAAGATTTCTGAATTGAACCAGGTTGCAACTTGCAGGTTCCTGGTACAGAAGACAAAGACAATAATTTATATGTCCAGTTTTAATCTGTCACTTTCAGGATGCTCCTGTCCATCTCTAGAGATGTGTCGTGAAGGATGACCAAGGAGGAACGTACTCAGTTTTGTAGTCTTGGGGCATTCAGTGAGGTACTAATGCATCACTTCTGTTACTAATAAGCATGTCGGGTCGGGAAGGAGGATGGATGTCCCTCCCGTGCAGGGATCCAAGTGATGTGCAGGAGACGCAGCCTCCCTGCCTGTGCTCGGGTGACTCATGGCCACAGCAGAGCAAAGCCCACTTTGTCGTTGGCTGTCTTCTGGAGAAGGTAAACCTGTGAAGCTGAAGTCAAATCCATCATTGACACATTTAACAAAATAAGGTCACAACAATTATCTTTAAGGGAAAAAACAAATGGCTAAAAACAACTTCTCACTTTACCTCACAGACCTTAAATTCTGAGCTTCATTCTTTTTTTCTTTTTTTTTTTTTTTATTTTCAAAGTGTCAGATTTGACTTCAGCACCACCACAAAAGTTGTATTTGCTTCTCCTCTGAAATTCAGCTCAAATAATTCTTTTCTCCAGATTGACATGATCTTGTTACAAGGAAAGCCTTATGAGGTTTGTCTCCTTTCCTGTTGCACGTTTAATTTCTCTGGTTTGAGGTTTTTCCTTCACCTGATCTCCGGTTTTGCGCTGGATGTCTTTCAAACATAATCCCATACTGCTGAATTCATCATTCTTTTCTGGCAGTCCTATCAGACACCTTTCACTCCACATCTTTCTTCTTCTCCTGTCCTTTGTTGTGTTCTGAGCAGACTGCAGATCTGAAACTCTGTTTATTCACATCCATCATTAAGGTTTCACCCAACCACAGCTAGTGAAACTAAATACACTTCTGCTGTGTTAGTGAACTAACTTCACCAACTTTTGAAGGAAAGTGAGGTGGTGGGGTGTCAGCTCTAGAGTACCCTGAACTGACTGGATTGTTGCATTATCTGCTCCATTTTTTTTTTTTCCAAATGCAATTTCTAGCCAATAACTTGAAGAATTGTTCTTCATGAATCATGCAAGTGGCCATGATTTCTTCAATGGGTGCTTGGATTACCATAATGTGAAATGTGTACAACCTGCACACTGATTTTTCATCCAGACTTTTTTTTCCTTAAGTCACTTTTAAAAATAGGTAAGTCATTCATCTTAGGGAGAATAATGGCCTATGAAAATGTAAAGTAATTTCTTCATATTTATGAATCCTTTCCTTTTTGCCCATTACAAATATCCCTTTTAATGAATGCTCTTTCTCCTTCATGAAGGTATTATGAGCAATTATGTCCTCTGGTTTTAATGTTCTGGTAATGTAATCAATTGCTCTATACTTTATATCCCCAGGTTAGTGACTACCCACACTCCTAGGAAGGACTGAATAGCTTTTAGTCCCAAAGAGGATACGTTGGCCCTGATTGCTTGAGACTGAGTGAACATGGGGTCTTCTTTAGACTATTATGTGTGTGGACAAACTTTAATCACAGCAGAGGAGACCCCAGAAATAACGTGGACCCAAAATGCTCTCTGTGCTGCAAACCTTCTGTTCTGGTCATGCACAGGCTGGTTATTTATGACCTGCTGTCCATTTAGACTTGTGTTGCGTTTCTGTTCCTGTTTGGCAGCGCAAAGATGGTTTAAGAAGTGAATGAAAATTAAGAAGAACAATGAGAATGAAATTCAGCCCCTGAACACTGATATAAAAGGAGTATTAATCCCTCCTCAGACTTGTACCTAGAATGAGGTACAATTATGAATAGAAAGATCATTTCAAGTTATGACAGATTTGAAAAAAGGACTTTCACTACCAGCAGAAGGAAAGTTATTATGTTCCTGCTAACAAGAATTCATCAGGTTTCCAGGGAGCTGGATTACATCAAGTAATAAAAGGTGTGAATGACAGTTCTTTTGGGGCAGGTAAGAACTAGCAGAAAGCATCTCCCAAGAATGCCAGTACAATCTAAATACATTACCCCACACTCACACTCTTTTTTCCATATTTTCTCAACTGGCCCGTTTGGTGCCCAGTGAAGCCTTTGCAGAGCTCCAAGGCAGAATTCCCTCCCTCTGCAGATGGGACCTGTGTGTTCATGGAGCTATTTCTGAAAGCCAAGACATCTATCTACTAGCTTCCCCACCTATTTCAGGAATTAAAGATAGTAGAAGAGGAGCTGTAAAGTCTGTTCCCAGACTGAGGTCAACAAGAGTCTATCTGATGAATTGGACTTTGGATAAGGTCCAAAAAGTCATCAGTCCAAAATCTGTCCTGTATGAAACACCACTGCAATCAGCACAAAGACACTAATCATACATGGTATGAGGAGGCAGTTGCCTGACTCTGGTTCCAGTCCCTCCCTAGGAAGGAGGCTGATGGGGAGCTAAAGAAAATTCACCTCCTTTGCACCGACTGAAGCATTTTCTTTCTGCTCATTTCACCCAGTATTCAGGGCCTTTGGAGCTTGCCAGTAGCAGATGAAAATGTAATAGACCATCTCAGAAACTAGTGTTTGTGCAGAGCAAATCCCAGTTTGGGCTGTCTGTTGCAGTTATTTAGCTTTCCATTTTGCACATTGGAAAATAAAAATGGAAAACATACACAGAAATTTTGCTAGGAAGAGCACATGGGTATGGTCAAAGCCACAAACTCCTTGGTGAAGTCACCTTGGAAAGAGGTTACCACCAAGAGGCTGCGAGAGACTATCCAAAGAGACAAATGCTTTTGATCTCTTTTAGTTTAATTTCCCTTCAGGTTTGCCCTTAAAAAAAAAAAAAATCAGGTTTAGGCTCTATGTTTAAATAAAGTTTCACTTTCTACATCTGATTTTGAAATTTTTCAGGATGGTGATGCAATAAACAAACAGAGCAACACTTCATGTCTTTTACCCAGCACCTTTTGCAAAGGCTGTTCCAACAGCAGCCAGGCAGTGAATGTGCCTTGAGCAGAGCTTGCTACAACAGCTTTAAACATGTGTTTAAGGGTCGTTTAGATGAGATGTTGGGGGATATGGTGGAGGGGAGAACTTCGTAGAGTAGGGCTGATGGCTGAACTCAATCCCAAGGGTCTTTTCCAACCTGGATGATTCTGTGATCTCAGCCTTATCTTCTAATCTCAGCAGGCTGTTTTTCTCTCAGGTTTTTGTTTGGGTTTTGTTTGTTTGTTTATCTGGTGTCTTGTCCGATATTTCAACTATAGGTAATGAGACAGGGATTGCCTTTTCCGTTGATTGTAAACAGTACGCAGTGGGGCATCCTTCCTACCTGGAGCCTCCTGGTGCCACTACAAGAAAAGCTAATCATTAATCAGAAGAAACACACCTTGTGGTAGCATTAACAGATGGCCCATCAGAAGCTCTGATTTGATTCACCATGTTAATCATTCCTGTTCCTTTACTTGGTCCAGCTGGCTCTGCTGAAGATGAGCGCGGTGTTTCTCCTGCTTTTGGTGTGCTCTGCGGATGTCGGTGCTGTGCTGGAAAAGGCTCTGCCGAGACGGGAACCGCGGCGCCTCTCGTGCGTGCGATGCTGTGGGCCTTCGGAGCAGCCCGTCTCCATCATCTCCTCACGATACACAAGGATGAGCAGTGACCCTGCCTATTCGGTACCCAAAGTCCAGCCCAATATAGACATCACCATCCTCAAAGGTGGGTAAATCTGACTACAATGATAAACATCCTTTATCTTACTTGCTCACCCTCATTTTGCAAGCTGTGCTCCTCCCTGCACCAAGAAACTCATTCACTTCATTTACCCAAAGGAGGGTCAAGGGGTGACATGTCACAGGCTGTAAAAGTGTGCAAATGAGAAGCTTGGCAAAAAGCTCTAATCTGTCAAAAACTGGAATCACCAGAAGCTCAGGTTAGATCACACCTGAGACCTAAAAATTAGGAAAGACACTCACTTTTTTCTGTCTCAGTAAGGCACGCAAATAAAATTTAAGCATACAGTACATGCCAGGAGTCCTGTGAGCAGGGATACACAGGCCAGACAAATCCAACTAGCTCTCCCAGGCCCAAATCAGACCTCAGCAAAATCAATAACTTTTCTTACCCTAATCTCTGCAGGAAGGAGCTGGGTTCATGAACACTGGATTCAAGTCACCGGTCTGGTCAGGCCATGGAGTTCTGCTGTCGGATATTGAGCATTGGCACCGCCAGCTCAGCGGAGCCAAGCTTTCACCTGGTGTTTTTATCCTTCTGAGCATTAGGAAGGTGCCAATGACTGAGCAATGCTTCCAGATATCTGTGCTGGCAAAACAGTGTTTCAGCAGTTGCCTTGCTGGTTATCTCCAGCAGGATGTGTCTGCAGCTCAGGCTTCACATGCTTGTGTCTGACAAGGTCTTTCTTTACACTTGCAGGTGAGAAGGGTGAAATGGGAGAGAAAGGGTACCCTGGAGCAGTTGGGAAGGAAGGAGAAAGAGGGCTACGTGGCCTTAATGGACGGAAGGGACAGAAGGGCCAGCCTGGCCCACAAGGCCATTCCTGCAAGCAGCTCTATGCTGCTTTCTCAGTGGGTCGGAGAAAAACCCTCCATAGCTCAGACTACTTCCAGCACGTCACTTTTGACACTGAGTTTGTGAACCTCTACAAGCACTTCAACATGTTCTCGGGGAAGTTCTTCTGCTACGTGGCAGGAATCTACTACTTCAGCCTCAACGTCCACACCTGGAACTTCAAGGAGACCTACCTGCACTTGATGAAGAACGAGAAGGAGGTGGCCATCCTCTACGCCCAGCCCAGTGATCGGAGCATCATGCAGAGCCAGAGCCTCATGCTGGACCTGCAGGAAGGAGAGGAGGTCTGGGTGAGGATGTTCAAGCGGGAGCGAGAAAATGCCATCTACAGCGAGGAGTCTGATGTTTACATCATCTTCAATGGCCATTTAATCAAGCCAGCCGTAGAGTAGCCATTCATCAGCTTTAGGCTCAAAGCTTTGGTAGATACGTTAGTGTCTTCCCTTTTAGAAACGCGTATGTCTAGTTCCACTTGGAAGGATTACAGGCCTGCTGACAGGGTTGTCTGTCCATGCCAAGGACACCCGTGTGGGTGGAGGTGACCGTTTCAAGGTGATGCAAGCTACACAAGTACCAAGAAGGCTTCAGCCCTTATGTGCCCTGAAGAATACACATTCAGAAGGCCCCAGTTCTGCAGCCCTGTATAGATCCCCTGTAACATCCCTAAAGCGTTTGCCAAGTTGGTAGCAAAAATTTAACTTCTTTACTCTGCTTTAGAGAAGGCATTTTATTTATATCTAAGGATCATCTTCAGATACCAGTTATCCAGGTGCTACTTAAAGAATGTCATTACTGCCACAACAATACTTGGATATCTTTGCAGTGTTCAATAAGAGTCCACACTTGCTGGCACATACACCAGGTCTGCTCCACTCAGGGAGGCAAGAATACACCAGTGTTAAGAACTATAGTTAGCACAGTATGTTTACACTAAATTGTATTTTTATTCCACTTCATGTAATGTGACATTCTGAGACCATAAGCAGAGCATCATAGACTGGTTTGGGTTGGAAGGGACCTTAAAGATCATCCAGTCCTAATCCCCTGCCCTGGGCAGGGACACCTTCCACTAGCCCAGGTTGCCCAAAGCCCCATCCAGCCTGGCCTTGAACCCTGCCAGGGAGGGGGCAGCCACAGATTCTCTGGGCAACCTGTGCCAGGGCCTCACCACCCTCACAGGGAAGAATTTCTTCCTTAGATCTGATCTAAATCTCCCCTCTGTCAGCCTAAAACCATTACCCCCTGTCCTATCCCTACACCCCTGATGACGAGTCTCTCCCCCTTTCCTGCAGCCCCTTTCAGCCCTGGGAGGCCGCTCTAAGGTCTCCCCGGAGCCTTCTCTTCTCCAGCTGAACCCCCAACTCTCTCAGCCTGTCCTCACAGGGGGGTGTTCCAGCCCCCTGAGCATCTTCGTGGCCTCCTCTGGACCCTCTCAAGCAGGTCCATGTCTTTCTTATGTCAGCATCCCCAGAGCTGGACACAGCACTTGTACTACCTAATGTTAGAATTAGATAAATAACAGCATATCTATCTGGCAGAGCTTTTTCAGAGGCACATAGTTTTAAGTACAACTGTAGGCACATGCTATAACTTTGCTAGACTTCTGTTCTGCTAGCAATACTTATCACACAAGAACATCTAAAATGGCTGGGAATATGTGTGTTTCCTATTTTATTGAAAACAGTGTGCCCTGCCTTGGGATCCAGTTTCAGAGTGCTCATTGCCAAGCTGGAATTTGATACCATGCTTATGTCATCTTATAGCACACTGTCTTATAGCACCCTCATTTCTGGAAAGTGGAGAAGAACACTGAAAAGAAAAAAAGGTGCTTTACTTTGAGCAGCAATATTTTAGAGAATTTGGTTTCTTTTGTCGTAAAAAAATATTGACATAACAGTGGAAAGGTACATGCAGCAGCAAGAAACATGGTTTTCCCCAGTTTCTCCTTGCCCATTCCCCAGATCTCTTGTTTGCATCCCAAGCCATCTTTATGAAGGATACATGAAAAGTTCTTGCTAGACAAACTGCTTCACTGCTGTACCTCGCCTATCCACAGCTGTTTGGAAATGTAGCCAAAATAAAGATACTGCTTTGAGTACACTTGCTTTGAGTAGCCTGGTTTGGTTTATTTATCTCTGTATGTTTTTTTTTTCCACAGTCCAGGGCTAATAGCACTAGACTAAACATCCAGTTCCATATAATAGTCTCAGGTGGCAATATCAGTTACTTGAACACTAGAGGACCTCAGAAACTAGACTGACACCAACTCTTCTCCTTGCAGGCCAGTAAACAACCAACATCATCAGGATGAGGAGACAGAGAAGTTAGTGACCTCTTGCTGTAATATAAATACCAAATCTTTGCCATCTCACAATCTTCTTGATAATAGGAACTTTTAAGAAGCCTATGGACAAAGTAAATGCATGATGAAAATGGGTCCGCAAGCCTTGAAACATCACGTCTGCTCCTGCTTCCATCACAGCCTGCAATGCTGACAAAGACAAGGGGGAAACCTGCAGAGCTTTAAGAAACACTCCCAAAGGCATTTTACGCAGATAATCCGCTGAGCTGCTGTCAGCTACCCCAGCTGCTTGGGTCAGGCCATTGCACAGCATTCCCTTCCCACCCACTTTCTAAAAAAGCTTCTTCATCAGCCGTTCCCATTAGGATGGTGGTAAAAGCCCCAATGGCTGTGTTGCTTCCCTGCAGCACATCATTTAGTACCGAGAACAGCAGCAGGGAGATGCCAGCCCTGAGCAAAGCCATACACAAGCAGAGACCTTTCCACTGCACTCGACTCAGTGAAGGCATTTGCAGACTGTTTTTACCAGCCATATACCACATTGGAGACCTCAAAAGGTTTTTCCCCCTCCTTTGTCCCTACATCTGAATCATTCCCTACCCAGACCTAAATTTTGCAGCTGCAGAATATCCTCCTCTGGGTGCAGGGTACCGCTGGCAGAGGACCTCATGAGATGCCTGTGGTGCAACAGGGATTATTCACTGAAGATGATGTGGTCGCAGGGCTGTCGTAACATTCCTCACATATTGAGCCATTTCACCACAGCTTCAGCTCATTCCTGTCTGCAGTTCACGGCATTGACTATAATTAAAAAGAAACAAAAAGGCTTCAAGTGTCGTGCCCAGCTGGAGTTACTGAGAGTGCTTAATCCAGCACTGGAAAAAAACACACCCAGAATGCATTTATGTCCAATCTGCACTGATTTTGGAAGTTACTTTCTACCAGGAAGCAAGAAAAAAAAATCTATCCATCCATCTATATCCCTATATATGTATAACTCCATAACACCTAGACACACAGAGACTCTGATTATTGAAGCAATAGGACACATTGAAAATGCTCATGACTGATACACCAGTGGCATAATCAGGTAAATTATTAAAGCCACATTGCTTACAGGTGCAGGATAACCTTCCACATAATAACAAAGGCGATTGGGTTGCCTACCTTACTCAAATTAGTTATTTGCAGCATCAAAGAACTAGAAGTTTCAAGCTTCTGAGTTCTTCAAGGAAAAAATTGAAATATCTAAAAAGCTTAATGTACAAAGCTATGTACTGTCACCTTTTGCATGCATCCCTCAGTTTTTTCCAACTTAAAGAGCTGGGACAAGCATCTCTATTTAGAGAAGTTTAATGAGCCAAATCCAAAGCTCAAATATTTGAGATCTGCTCATCAACATACAGGCAGCTTGCCAGAGGCTGTCTTATAGGAACAGAATTTAAATCCCTTTTTTCCAGCAATATGTGGCTTGGTGAACTAAACTTGGAAAAAAAGCTTTTTAAGTTCTCTTTTGAAGAGAAGAAAGGGGGGAGGGGTTAAGTGCTGAAATTTAAATGAACACAAAAACTTAAATTTGTATTTATTTTCCCAATTATTTCCCTAAATTGCCACTTAGTGTTTCATGCTTTGAAGTAAGTCATCAGGGCTCCATCAGAATCTTTTTTCCAAACTCTTCAGTACACAGAAATGACAGAACTGCCTCAGCTGCCATAGGTCCCAGGTGCATTTTATTACAAAACATTAGCTCTCCTGTAGGTCCCTCTCAGCTCAGGATCCCTGTGGAAGATGAAGCCCCCATGGTACAAAGCACCAATAAACCAATTTGCCAAAATAACCTTACTTGGCCTTGGGCCAGGGCCAGAAATAGGGAAGCAGAGGGACCCATTAAGATCAGATACAGTGACCTGTAAATGGAGAACAGAAACCCTCTATAACAACAAAAATATTATAGAAAACATAAGATGAGAAGCATCTACCCCCAAAAAGTCTCTTTTGTTTGGCATAGGAAGATTAAAACAGACTTTAAGACAACATACCTTTAGTTTTATGACTGCAATCTGTACAAGATTTACTAGCCCAAACTTCAGCAACAGGGAGGAGATAAACTCATCTAACATCCTCTCCTTCATTTCTTTGGCACCAGAGTCCCAGACGAGGTCCTCACAGGGAGGGAGTTCTGGGACAGCATCTGTCCCTGTACCAAAAAGGTGATGAATTGAAGACAGCAAGCAAATTACCTGCCCATATCCAATGAGGGTAGGGCAAGATTTCCATTCAGTATCAGGAAAAAACTACTTCAACTAGAAGAAGAATCAGACTCTGTGGCTGCAGCATGAAAGACAAGCTCTCCATCCCAGAAATGCTTCAACAGCATCCCAAGATCTCCCAGGAATGACAAGGGCAGCTCTGGATTAGAGCAGAGGAATGAAGCACATAGCTGCACAGGGCTCCTTTAACCTTCCTTTCCTGTAGATTTACGTTTCAGCTTCTTTTCATTGAGAAAAGCCTGAAAAAAACACAAGAAATAGTTCCCACTAAAAATCCCCATATGAAGAAGCTGAGCCAGGCCTGCTTTCACATTGCTTTAAATTAGCTTCAGCTGCAATTTCCAATATCACAAACCCACACATAAGAAATCCTGCAGCACAGCTCAGTAATTACTGGGATCTATCTGCCCTATTGAATCCTCTGCTTAAGTCTGTCTTATGACTTCCAAATGTGCTCACTCCCTACTTTTGACTGCACTAAATGGAGCATTGCATTATGATTTACAGGATTTCTGTAGGGTCCTTGTTTGACTACATAATTGCTCTATAACTTGGTTTTGCTCATTTTCTCTATTCTTACCTTACAGGTGTAAGACAGGAAAAAAATCCTTACACTTGTAGATTGAACCTAAAAGGACCACTTTTCTGAGTTCAAACACAGAAGCATCTGACTTGTAAGAGTCTGACCTGCTTTTCTTTGTGAGCTTAAAATAGTCCAGACTTCTCTTCCTCTTTTCTTTTCCTGGAGCAGAATTTAGGGGTGGTGCTTGAACTCCTCTTTATATGCAGAAGCAGGAAATTCCTTGGAGCCCACCTGAGTCTGCATTAACAAGCTGAGGGGCCGTGCAAGGCAGCAGTAAGGGTTGGGGTTCCTTCTGCCTTGCTGGGGGAGGTGAGGCTCATGTAGGTTTAGTGAGCAAGATGCTGGGGAAAAATTATAGGTGAGAGCTTTCCCTTAGTGTTTAATAGAGGATTAGAGAAGGCAATGTATTTTACCATACGCTGGATGTACTTATCTGTGATGAGCTGTAGCAGTACTTAGTGCGAGGGTGGTTTTACAAGGACTCTTCTTGAGTCCTAATGCTGGTCCTGCAACTTTTGCACTGACCAAGCAGAAGATCTTACTCTTTTTGTGCAATCTTTAAATAATGCTGTAACTACTCAGAAACACTCTCTTGAAAGAGGTGTTGAAGGTTTTATAATCCTGGCTGTGACAAACAACCAGTGCTCAGGTTAATAGCTCTTACAGTGCTATTAGAGCTCATTATACCTGGCAGAGCTCATGACTGGGCTGGAGTTTAGTGCTCTTGATGCCAAATGGCATCAAGTAAAGTAAAACCTCTGTGTGCTCCCTGTTTTCTTTCCTAATTATTCTGTTCCTGCATGCTTGCTCCTGGTCAAACCCTGTTGCTCCGTACTGTCAGCTGCATTTAAGTTAATTAAACTTCTGAAGTTGTT